AATTATGAATAAATATTTAAAAATTAATACACCTTAAGGAGTATAATAATTTCAGTCCGAAGCCCAAAAATCAGTGAAGGACTCATTTCCGACCCAATAAATCATATATATTCTTGATCAGCATTAAAAACAGAATCGATCTAGACATGTTTGCAAGAAAATTAAAATTTTTTATTTTTTTTTTTAATTTTATGTTTAATTTTATGTTTAATTTTATTGTTTAAGGAGGTAAAGAAAAATCGAAAAATTTTAAATTGGTTAAATTTGTAATCTTTATATGCAGATTTATTAACCATAAAAAAACTAACTCAGAACAGCTTTCCAAATTGAATTTAATGCATTTTTGGCTTAGTTATTGAATTTTTAAGCCCTAAAGTGATCATATAAAATTATGAATAAATATTTAAAATTTAATACACCTTAAGGAGTATTATAATTTCAGTCCGAAGCCTAAAAATTATAGAAGGACTCATTTCCGACACTATCAATCATATATATTCTTGATCAGCACAAAAAGCGGAGTCGATCTAGCCAAGTTAAGAAGAAAAACATTGAAAATTTTTTTTTTGTATTTTTGAGTTCTTAAAATGGGTTCAATTGTCAAAGAAAAAATAGGCAAAAATTTCAAAATTTTAAAATGTGAAATTTAGTATGCAGATTTGTTTATCTGGAAAAAAATAGCACAGAAAAGCTCTCCGAATTGAATTTGATGATTTTTTGGCTTAGTTATGATGAATTTTTGATTGAATGAAGGATCCTATGGCAAACTGCAAGGGTATACAAATTTCGGCTTCCCGAAGTTAGTTTCCTTTCTTGTTGTTTATATACTGGACCTTTGGCAGGGCGATTTTTATTATGATTTCGTGTCTGTAAATGGCGAATTTGCACTTCCTTTTGACTCAAATAGCCACTAGCTTTCACGCTTTTCTTTTTTTGTAAGCGGAAAATGGGAAGTGGGAAATGGGAAAGTGGGAATTGGGTCTTGACACAGTTTTATTTTCGATTTTTTTTTGCCGCTGTTTGTTGAAATATAAAATCCAACAATGTCGGCACGTACGCGCCGTGCTAAATATTTCAACACGATCCAACAAACTACTCACTTAGCCGCTCTCAACTCCAAAAGAAACTAAAAAAAAAACACAGTATATATATATATAAATATAGCAAAAGCATCGAGCATGACCCGCAAGCATTTGCACTGCATTTAAAAAACATTTGCGGTTTTACGCTTAATCATCGTCAGAGCTCCTAGGGCTTCGCAGTTCCTAAGGGGGTTGGGGGTTGGGGAGAAGGGGGACTTGGGGGGTCTATATCCCTGGCCCCGACATCATTTCCCAGCTTGAAATTCCCAGCACGCTTGTATATTTTAATAAAAATGCATTAGTTCACATTTATTTTCGACATAAAACGTGTAAAAGTAAGCAAGCCAGAGTCAGACAGACAGTCAGGATACACGGCGAGGCGGTGAGGCGGAGACAGACAGTCAAAAGGGGCCCCGGGGGGCAGGTTGTGGAAGATTTCACTCACCTAGAGACAAGGAATAGGGGTGGGGAGGAGGAGGAGGAGTAACCAGTACCCAATGGACTGTGGTTGCACTTGAAAAAAAAACCCGGAAATTAGCTTTGATAATCCTAAAAAGTGATTAGAGGAAAAGAAACCAAATTCAGGTTGTTTTTTGTTCATAAATAAATTAAATAATTAGTAGTTAATTTTTTAACTGATGTGGTTTATTTTTTAAAATTTTTAAATAATTTTTAATAATTTTTGGTTAAGAAATTATAGTAAATAAATTAAAAACCAAAGTTATATAACAAAAATAAACACTTTTCTACGACTTTCAAATTTTTAAATCACTTTAAAAATAAAATACATTTATTTATAGTCCAAATACTTTAATGATTTGTAACTTAATTCAATATTGAAGATATTATATTACAAAAAGAAATATTTTTAATATGAAACAGATACTCTTGATATTTTTTTCTGTTGTATTTTCTCTGTGTGTTATTCTACTCATTTAAAGCTTGGCGACTTTTCCTTTTATTTCAACGCTTGAAAGCAAAATAATGTACACGAGGACAACACCACCGCCACCACCACCACCCCTGGCCCACCCCTCCCCTGGAAAAGCCAAACCCAACCCCCCGCAGACACAGGACAGCCAACCTGTGCACTTTCGCTCTCGGTTTTGTGTCTATGCTGGTCGTAAATTTTAGATATTCGCAGCACGTGCAAATTATGTACAATAATAAAAGCAGCAGCGGCATGAAGAATAATCCAGAGCGAAAGTAAGACGGCGGCAGTGTGGGCGAGAGTGTACTCTGCAGAACTTGTAGTCATGTTCCGGACTGTCTGCACTGTCTCTGCTGACGACTGACAAGTACATAAAACATGTCTGCGCCTAAAAGTCTGCTGCATTTTCAATGGCCAATGCCCAATATCGATTGGCGGCGGCGACTAAAGTAAAGTTAAGTAAAAGGGGGGCGAGTTTTGGCCAAAAACTGGCAACAAGTGATGGAAAGTCTCAGCAAGTTTCAGTAAATTTAGACAAACTAGGAAAAGAGAGAAAGTACATTGGCAGAAGCCCTTAAATAATTGCCAAGATTTAGAAAGAAAATATAGTAAAATAGTCAATGGTAATAGTAATATAGTGAAATAATAAATAAATAAAAAAATTAAATAATTCTTTAAATTTTAAATACTATCCCAATGTTTTTCTATAATTTACTTAAGCTTCGTTAATCAAATTAACGTTTTTTTCATGAATTCTTAAATCCAAACTATATCCAAAATATTAAAAAAAAATATATTCTTGGTAATTTAATTTATCTTGGTAATTACAAAAAATAAATACAATTTTTCTTTCTAAATTATAACTAATTATAATTACCCCTAATAACACAACTTAAATAAGTTTAATAATCAAAAACAGCTCCCTTCTGCAATTTTTAAGGAATTCCCCTTTTGAATTTATGACTGCCCCCCTTTTGAGGTGTTAAAAGTTAGCGTTTCCATTTGATGGAAACACTTTTTCCCTGTGAACTAGATTATCTCCCGGAACGACCTTTGGGTACAAATAATCATTGGAGGTCCCTACCGGCGCTTCCCCCAAAGGTGTTGCATAATATATGTATTTAACACCCCCGGCCGACTTATGGGCCATCATTAGCAGGCCCACATAAAAGTTTGTCTCATTTTTTTGTTGCCGCATTTGTCATTCCCTCGGTAGGCGGTCGTCTTGGTGGGGTTTTTCGTTTCGTTTTCTTTTTATACCCTTGCAGGGTATTATAATTTCAGTCAGAAGTTTGCAACGCAGTGAAGGAGACGTTTCCGACCCTATAAAGTATATATATTCTTGATCAGCATCAACAGCCGAGTCGATCTAGCCATGTCCGTCTGTCCGTCTGTCCATCTGTCCATCTGTCCGTCTGTCCGTCTGTCTGTTTCTACGCAAACTAGTCCCTCAGTTTTAAAGCTATCTGAATGAAACTTTGCATATAGTCTTCTATATGCTCTCACTGCTATATATGTCGGAACGGGCCGGATCGGACGACTATATCATATAGCTGCCATACAAATGTTCGATATATTTGTAGAAAAAAATTATAACTTTGCTGTTTTTCAACATTTTTGCACCAGTTTTTAGATATGGACATTTTATATTATTTCAGAATTTTGGTAAAAATTTTATCAAAATCGGACGACTATATGATATAGCTGCCATAGAAACGATCGGGAAATTAATAGGAATAAAATTATAGCTTCGTTGTTTTTCAACGTATTGTTTTCTACTCTGAGATATAAGCATTTTTTATTATTCTAGAATTATGGTATAAATTTCATAAAAATCGGACAACTATATCATATAGCTGCTATATAAACCGATCGGTAGATGTAGAGAAAATGTAAAACTGGGAATGTAAAACTGTAACTGTCAAACTGTAAACATAATAAGTATAGGTAACATGTAATGAAACTCTGTTTTGTGAGTGTTTTCAGCATTTAAATCTATAATATAAACATCGAAACCAATCTGCAAGGGTATACAAACTTCGGCGTGCCGAAGTTAGCTTCCTTTCTTGTTTTGTTGTTATTTCAGAATGAAAATTTTATAATTGCTTCCATATTTTGCTCTTCCGCAGTTGTTGTTGTGCTTGCCACACGTTCCGGAGAGCCATAACAAATTACTTAGGTCATCAATTATGAGGTGAGACTCGGGTCTCTTGGATGGCTCTGTTTCTGGAGGTGTTTCTTCTGTTTATTTTTTTCGGGTGATGCTTTTATTGCTTTCATTATGATTTCAAAGGGGGGTAAGCACGTTCCGGGGGGGCACGACTCTCCCCGGGGGAGAATTCCCCGATTTCCGTCCGTTGACGACCATTTGTCTAACTTCAGGTATTTGATGTTAATAATGTTATCTTTTATTTATAAAGCGTAACTTTTTTGTTATTTTCGTTTTAAACTTTGATGCGGGCGTGAGTTCTTTACGGAAATGTAATTGCATTTGCTGTATTTTCTTCATTTTTTTTTTTTTTTTTTTTGACTGGCATAAATTAAATGGTTAATAAAAAATTTCCAGGTTGAGCCTCTATTTGCATAATTTTTTGGGGTGAGCTAAGAGTTTATAATTTGATGAGGGTGTATTTACAAAAAAAAAATCGGTATTATGGAATATAAAATAATATAGGGGAGAATTTATCCTGAGAAGTTTTAGTTAATAAATCATTTATAATTATTTGCTGGATTAATATACACTCAAAAAAAGGTTTTATAATAATATCAAGTACAGTTTTGTATAATATTTGGCAAAAAAAAATATTTCTAATGAATGATTAATTAAAAAAATATATACAAAAAAAAATATCCACTCGCTTGACTCTAAAATTCCCAACTAGTTCTAGCATCTTGTGAGTGATAACCAGGCTGAATGTTGAGGTCGAGTGGAAGAGGTAGATTTTTCTACTAAAAATGCGCAGAAAATAAAATAAATACAACTCCAATTAATGCTTTCATTAATTATTTTATATTCTTTTGTCAATAAATTAAACAATTTTCACTTAGCAAGTAAACAAAATAAATAAATCCCCAATGGCAGAGTGGCCGACATGGCCACACTTAACAAGATGAAGTGGCTAACGAGGAGCCTCTTTTTCCGCTGCTGCTTCCTCCCACGGAGCTGATCCTGATCCATTACCCCCTAGGGCTTGTAGGTGAAGTTGCCGCCACAGTTCTTGTAGCAGAGATAGCTGGGTCGGGTACGCCACTTGCGGCAGTAGCGGCGATAGCAATTGTTGGGATTGGGCGAGGGAGGACGAATGGTGGGTGGCCGAATGGTGGGAGGTTGCTGGGTGGGAGGCTGTACGGTGGGAGGCTGTACGGTAGGAGGCCGATTGGTGGGAGGCTCATAGGTGGGCGGTTGAACGGTTGGTGGCTGGACCGTTGGAGGCTGAGGAGTTGGTGGCTGAGGTGTAGGAGGCTGAGTTGTTGTGGTGGTGGTGGTGGTGGTTGTAGTGGTAGTCGTGGTGGTTGCACTGCAATCATTGGCCACCGAGCCAATCAGCTGGCTCAGCACAGCCACATCTAGCAGCAGATTCAAGTCAATGTCGATCAGCTCAAAGACGCTATTACAATTGCCAACAATCTCGGTTTCGGGATCAACTGCAAAAAGGAGTTTAAATTAATAAATAAAATCAAAAGAAATTGCAAAGTCCAGCTACACACCATTGATCTGGTTGCAGACGCCGCCGCTGCCTCGGATGACACTGCCCACACTGAGGAAAAGCAGCGCCACAATGTCCAAATTCACCAGCCTCACAATCTTATTATTGTTGCCCACAATGATCTGCTTAGGACCCACTGCAAAAATAAACAAAAATCAATTAAAAACTCCAAAGACTAAACCCAATCCCACAACTCACCGTTGGCCGAGTTACCAATGAATCCCGTTCCCAGGATGCTGTCCAGGAGGAAGAGCGAGCACAAGACCGTACCGTCCACGCTAACCAGCTTGACGACAGTGTTTTCGTTGCCAATGATGGTCGTGTCGGCGGTTTTGTTCAGCGAATTGCCAATGCCAGTGGAGCTGGTGGTGCCGCCGGGTCCAGATAAGCTGCTCGAGGCGGTCGAATTGGTTGAATTGCTGGTACAGGTGCTGCCAGAGGTGAGGCCAGTGCCGCCAGCCAAAAGACTTATCAGGTGAACCAGCAGCTGTTCCACGGTGCTGATAACTGGTGGAAGAACGCCGCCGAGAACAGCGCTAAGGAGACTGCCAAGGCCAGTGCCAAGGACACCGCCAAGAAGGGCACTAAGAAGTCCCTCCACCGTTGTGACCACACCACCCAGGACACCGCCCAGTCCTGTTCCTCCCAGCAGACCTCCAAGCAAGCCGGGATTACCACCGGAAGTGGATTTGGATCCTCCTCCTCCTAGTAGACCTCCACCTCCCAGTAGACCTCCTCCTAGTAGACCTCCTCCTCCTAGTAGACCTCCTGAGGTTCCACTGGAACTAGATCCTCCTCCCAGCACATTTCCTCCTACAAGACCTCCAAGCAGGCCGGAATTACCACTACCTAGGAGACCGAGACCGAGACCTCCCAGCAGTCCTCCAAGCAAACCTGTTTAGCAAGACAAAAAACCAAAGAGTTAATGGGTTTCCTTGGATAAGGACTTTCTTCTCTAAGGACTCTTACCTGAACTTGTTCCATTAGCGCCGCCTGGGTTCACAGTGGACAGAATCGAGACAAGAAGACTTATGGTAGGGGTGACTGTCACTCCTTTAATAACACTATTGCTAGTGCCATTCATGATGACGCCCTCGCGAACTGGGAGAAGGAAACATTAATAATTAATTAATAAAATAAATAATTATTAAATAATTAATAATTAGTACTCACTGTTCATATTGTTACCGAAACCACCTCCTATAATGGTACTCAAAAGAGACACCACAATGGCAATGGGTGCATTTAAACTAATCAACTCGGTCAAGGTGTTCTTGTTGCCGGCAAGAAGATCTCCAGATCCAGATCCAGTGGAACCACTAGAGCCGGAAGAAGAACCTGAAGAAGAGCCTGAAGAAGAGCCTGAAGAAGAGCCTGAAGAAGAGCCAGAGGAGCCAGAAGAACCCGAAGAACCAGAAGACGAGGAGCTTCCCCTATCGATGTTTGACAAGGCACCAACTGCCGCCCCAACAGGTAGCAAGGCACTCACCACCTCTGTTTTTTTATTTTTGTTGCCCTTGATAAGCGTTCCAGATTGAACTGTCGAATTGAAACATACAATTAGTCATTCGATATAATATAATATAATATATATAAAATATTACTTACCATTCTGTATGTTATCGCCGGCACCTTGAACATTACTCAAAGCAATGACATCAGCATTAGCCGGAACAAAAGCCTTGACCAAGTCAAAGGTGTTATTTTCATCACCAATTATGCTTGTTCCGCCTTGAACTTGATGAGAAAAAAATCATAATTTCTATGAATATTAAATTAAAATAATATAAAAGTCTTGAACTTACCATTCTGATTGGTGCCAGTGCCGTTTCCAGAAACATTACTGATGGCATCGACATTGGCATTGGCAGGTACCAAAGCCCTAACAAGTCCATTGGAAGTGTTGCCAGAGCCAACGATATTTGTGCCAGATTGAACTGAAAAAAAATATTTAAAAATTTTATTAATTTATATTATATTTTAATAATAATTTTCAATAATTTACCATTCTGACTAGTGCCTTGGTCTCCTGTAACACCGCTTATAGCATTAACACCTGCATTGACGGGCACCAAAGCCACAACGCCATCATTGACAGTGTTGCCAACACCCGATAAATTCGTTTCCGATAAAACTGCACAATTAGATTAATTTTAAATTAAACTTAAAATATAAAAGGGTTATAAATTCACTCACCATTCTGACTGGTACTTCCAGCATCAGAAACCTTAGTCAAGACATTGGCATCGGCATTGAGGGGCACAAAAGCCTTGGCCAGAGTGCCAGCAGAGTTGCCAACACCTTTTAAATTTGTGCCTGATTTTACTAGAAAGAAAAATATCGAGTTAGTAAATTTATATAAATTTAAATATTTATTTTAATATTTTATTTATATTATTTACTTACTGTTCTGAATGGTGCCACCACTGGTATCATCGCCTATCACATCGGCAACCAAATTTATAGGGATCAGAACATTAGCCACATCAGAAGCTTGGTTCAAGGTACCATCTAAATTAGTGCCAGAATCCACTGTAAAAAAATTAATATAAATTGAATATATTAATTTAATAAAAACCTAATAAAAAACCCACCATTTTGAACACTGCTCACAGAATTGGTCACTAAAAGAAATAAAAGAAAAAAAGGTTATAAAATCCTTAAAAAAAAACCAATGGCATTACAAAACCCACCAATATCCACAGGATTGCTACTGGCTCGCTTTGCTGTCACAGATGCCTTCGAGCCCAAGGGAGTTTTAAAATCAGTGATATCCCCACCATTGACATTATTCAAGGCCACCGCATTGGCCGTTTCCGCAGACGTGGGACTGACCAGAGTGCGATCAAGGGCAGTCATCAAACCCAAAAGCACCACCTTGCCCACTTTCATGGCCAGAAGGCGAACAATCCAGGTGTCAGGGCTGGCAGAGCACAAGCCACTCGTATTGCCATCGGCAATAGAGGAAAGACTGTCCAGCAAAGCCACAGAAAGCATGCTAAAGGCATTCACCTGCAGGGTAGTGGCAGTCTCAGGACCCACTAAAAATATGAAATTTAAATATTTAATACATTTTTTAAAGAAATATTAAAAAATAAACTCACTCTCTTGCAAATTTCGAATAATTTTGTGGGCCTCTCCGCCAGAGGCTCCGCACACCTGCAGCAGAGTATTGAGAATGGCACTGTGCTCGGCCAGGCTGCGGGCTTGCAGAAACTGCAAAACCGACTCGCGATCGTCCTTGAGGGATGAGTCCACTTTGCGGGCTGAACGGATGCCTGAACCCTCGGCCTGCTGCTGCTGCTGCTGCTGATCACCATCGTTGGTCTTGACTGGTTGCTGTCGCTGGCGAAGCAGAGAGCTCTTGATGGCCTGGCTCACCTCATCCTGAGAGCACTCGATGCCATTGAAGGACAACAGGGCCAGGAAGGAACGAAGCGTTAGGGTGAGACTATTACGATCCTGCGACTGCTCAATATCACGGACAATGCCACTGCAGGTGCCCTCATTGCGTGCACCAATCAGAATATCAATAATCACATCCATGCCCAGCTGAAGGAACATATTGTTGCCCTTGGCATCCTTGGGCACCTGACTGCGCAGCATTTTCATGGTGGACTCCTGGAAGGGTGAGAGCTTGGCACCGCGTGCCTGCATGCTGGCCAAAAGCAAATCGGCCAGATCCTTGGCAGCCAAACGTCCGATATGAGTGAAACGTGATGATGGTGTTCTGGGCGAAGTACTTGTTGGCCCATCCGTGGTGGATTCCGTTTCGAGGAGCAGCGAGGCTAAGGTTGTGGTTGGCGGTAATCCATTGGTGGTTGTCCTCGATCTGGTCATGGGCTTGGCATCGTGCGGTATAAGGAAGCACGTGGAGAGCAGTAGAAACAAATGCAGACGCCACATCTCGAATCTCGTCACTTGCTGTGATTGATAGATCTTGCAGGTTTCAGACCGCTTTTATACACGATCTCTGGTGGGGCTTATCGAGCTCGAGAGATAGCCATAGCCACTGCTGGCATGCTGTAAACGTGCCTCCTCAGTTGGCATATCGCTCGGCATCATCGCCATCGACGCATTCTTTCTGCATGTTCCGGCCGTAATCTCTTCTTATCTCGCGTGGGCTCTGAGAGCTCCAAGAGCTTGAGGAAATCGCACTTACAGCAGTGAGTCGCGGTGATGATGATTGATTTCGATATAGACTTCTGTGGGTTATAGTTCTATTTGATTTGGTATAAATTATCACATATTGAATGCAGGTTATTTTATTTATAAGGTGACAAGTGAATGTTCGAGGTGCTGGTTTTTGTTTACATGAGTCAAGGGGGGACAACTTACATCTTGGCGGCTTCGAAAGGGGTCTTTAAAGGCTTTATTTTCCAAAATGGACATCGTCCAAGCTGTGTGCTGATCAAATAATAGTTAAAGGTCATGGAACTTGGTATTTCAGGGAAAAATATAACAGTTTTTCTGTCCCAACCGCAAGCTAAAAATATTTTTTATCACAAATCGAGTATTATTATGCATAAGGTGACCTTGAAATTCTGCCCGAAAGCTTATTTTTTTAGTTTTTTTTTTTTACAACCTTTATAAAATAACTAATAATTAATGTTATTTTTAGTCAAAATACTTAATAATTATTATTTTTATTTTATTTATTTTTTTATAATTAATTATTATTAATTAAATAATTATTATTATTTTTATTAAAATTATCATTAATATTATTATTTATTATTTTTATTTTATTATTATTATTTTTATTAAAGAAATTTAATTAATTATTATTATTTTTATTAAAAATAATTAAAAATTATTATTTTTATTAAAAATAATTAAAAATTATTATTATTATATTTTGTATATGTTGTGCCTGTAACAATACCTATTTTGTACTTCAAATTTTCTAAGACATATACAAACTTTAAATAAGAATTAAATAAGAATTCAAATAAGAATTAAATAATCTGTAAAAGTCTTCAACAAAAACTCATCACAGAATTGTTTACTATTTCTTAAGTAAACCCCAGACAAACATAGTTCTCATTCACAAAAAAAAAAAAAAAAAAATAAAATAATAATAAACAAAAAATGATGATTAAGCCAAGAAATCATCTTGTTGGAATTTGCACCCCAGCTGAGCGTTGTTAGATTGGCCAACTTGACTCACCAGCTGGCCAAAACTCTGCAGCGTTGACTATCTCTGTTCTGCTTTCTGCCTCAGTTTTCCCCATTTTTTGTGGGAAAGCACGTGGTGGCTGACCCACAACATTTTCTGGGCCCAAAAGATTTCCGCATAGAGATACAAATTTTACACCGATTATATAACTAGTATATATAAATGCCGAAATGCTACCAGCAGCTGTGAACAGTTGGCCAAGAAGTTAGAACAAGATGACAGCCTTTAATCAGGATCAGCGTTTCGCTTTGCTTTTAATTATTTCCCTCGTTGGAGGAAGTTGTCTTTTGGATTTCACCAAGGCTCAGACCTTGACAGCCGAGGATCGTCTCTCAGTGCTTAAGTTTGTGGGTGCCTTTATGAATTTTTTGGATTTGGAATTGGAGAACTCCACCATGGCAACGCCAGAGAGTACGAGTACTACTCCCACTTCGGTGGAGACCACCACTTTAACTTCAGATAATAACTCCACGGATGTAACCACGGAGGTAACAAGTAACTCCACCACGACAATAGAGGAGACCAGCAGCAGCACCTCGGCTACCACGGAGCCTGAAACCAGCACCACCAGCACCACCACAGAGGCAACCACAACTACAGTGAGGCGTCGCATGTGCTTCAAGCGTTTTTGTTACAAGTTTGGAGGCGACAAAGGCTATATTGTTTAAAGCGAATAAAATTCTAAGGAAATATATATACAAAAGTATTTTATTTATAACTAAAAATAGGATATCAATCAATCTGCTGAGAATAATCAAGAATAATATCCACTCTAAACCCCTAAATGCACTTTAAACTTGAGGCCACTCCGCTGAGAATCAATATTTACCCAATCAATTAGTAATGAAATATTCCAAAAATCCCCTCAAACCTTGTTGAAATGTCTGTAATTGAAATCATTTGTTGAGCCGCAAAGACCATTATTGTTTCAGCTGTAAGTCAATCAGAAATACATATATATATATTTATAGGAGAAGCAAAAGTCTGAGTTATTTTCGGTACATTTTCAGTAATATTGTGAAGACATCCAGAGGAGTCATCGTCTCCTTCTCTACCCCCGTAGGCCTTAACAAATTATTTCAATTAAAAGTTTTCGGGGCAAAGCACTTAATGCCAAAACACACACTCACACACATACAAGTTAAGCGTTTATGTGCGCAAATCTTAATTGTGCCAAAAATACAAGCTATAAATTTGTATATTTGTATATTTAGCGAGGGTGGAAAATCTCTAGAGAGGGGGAGGAGGAGGGGTTTTCACCAACAACTCAAACTGACAGCAAAAGCCCATTGGCAGTAGGCTTTGTGGCTTTTCATTGAGTCGTAAACAAATGAAATTTAATTCGTGCCAAGATTTATTTGAATTTATTGTGCAAATTGTTAAATGTCAACGTTGCCGTTGTCCTCGTCTCAACTAGGATTTCCCTCGTGTTTTACTGATTTTACCCATTTGTATCTGCATTTGTATCTGCATCTGCATATGTACCTGCATCTGCATTTGCTTCTAATTGCCAACTGAAACGAAGCCGCAAATATGCCTGACTGTTGGCCTCCCGTACGTGCTCGATTTTCTAATCTAATTTCGGCTATATTCTTCCATTGAAGTCGCTTAATGAGTAATCCGAAAATTACAAAAAAACATATGTTTTTTATATATATTTAGATACATATTAAAATTCGCAATAATTAAGCTTAAAAAAATTTTAAAATATATTTAACAAAATATAATAAACTAAAAAAAAAGCAAACTTCAGCACCCCAAAATTGTTTATGCCTTTTCAGTTTCAAAAATGAAAAATTTTGGAAATTTTTTGATAATTTTATCGATAACCCATTTTATAACAAAAATATAAAAACAAAAAAGGTAAAAAAATACTATTTTTCGAACAAATCACAGTTTTTAAAAGCTATAACGCATTTAAAAAAGCAATAATTTTAATTTAAAAAAAAAACGTAAAGTTATTTTTATTTTAGGTTCTGCATAACAAATTTAAAATTATTAAAAAATAAAAATTTTTGACAGTTTCAACGATTTTAATAATGAAATTAATAAATAAAAATGAAAATGGACTTTATTTTCCTTGGAACATGTCTAGATTGACTCGCCTGATGATGCTGATCAAGAATATACATGATTTATAGAGTCGGAAATCACATCTTTACTCGTTTGCCAGCTTCTAACAAAAATTATAAAAATAATATTTAAATTTAAATTTATTAAAAATCAAGGAAATATTAACAAAATATTTCAATAAAAAATTAAAACAAAATCAAACTGAAATTACTAAAAACTCCCACTTCAATTGTCTAGAATTCTTGGGGCTTCCTGCCATAAGTTATATAACTTTGTGGCCTCAAAGTAGTGCGATGACAAAGTAATTGATTTGTCCATAGCCCTGGGGTGTGCGTGTTCAAAGTGTGTATACAATGTGTGTGTGTGTGTGTGTCCTTTGGCCATCCTGTGAACTTTTTGGGCTTCGTTGCTGCGACACGTGCCAGTGTCATTTAATTACTGACTATATTGTTATTATTATTTACCCCATATGCGCGATATGCGTGTCAACAACTTAACAAAGTTATCACACACACACGCACACATAGAGGGGGAGGGGGAGGTTGACACGCACACACACACACACCATGGCAGCGGATTAAGCGACCGCCGCGTGAAGCACTTTAAATTAGTTTCGTTGCATAAACAAGGAGCTCGCGCAGCAACAACCTCTACTTGACGATGGCCAAAGCAGTCAGTTTAGCTTTATTAAAGTCAAAACTAACTACTTTTTAAAGCTAAAAATTTAGTGTAGTTTTTAAGTATTTTTAAAACAATTTAAAAGATTGGAAACTTGATTTTTAAAGTATTTTTTTTTTTTTTTTTTTTGTAATTGTCAGTTATAAATTCTATAACAATCAGTTCTGAATTTTTAAATATTTCTTTTTGTATTAATATTTAATTAAGGGACATATTTTTAGATTTTATTTTTATTTTTTAATCTTTATATAAATTAAAATTAAAATTTTTAACTTTTACTATTAAAGAAATATTTTTAAAAAATCTTCAAAAATATATATATTTAAATAATGTCATATTTTTCCATTAAAAAAAAAATTAAAAATTCCTAAAACTAATTTTGAAAATACAAAAATATTTCTTGTGAACAACTTAACAGGGATTTAAAATATAACAATTATTAAACAAAACATTAAGCTAAATGTAAAAAATATTAATAATTTTAATGGATTTTTTTTGTATTGTTTTTGCCAGCACTGGCAAAGATGGGTTAAGGGCTGGTTGGGATGGGCGAATGGTGGTTTGATGGGATGATAGGATGATGGTCTGATGGGCTGATGGCTGAACGGATAGAGGCCTGTCCTCGGCTTTAAAGAGAATCCAAGCAATGGGCTTATCAACCACCACAAGCCTCTTCTCACTCCCCGCCGTTGAATTTGTTTGTTTGTTTCAGTTTCTGGTCGAAAAAACATATCCAATTACAATTTAATTAAGCTGATTTGAATGCGACTCTGCCAAAACAAAAGAAAACAGATGGAACTGCAGAACTACAAACTATAAATGGAAAGCAAACGAAAATGTAAATGGAATCTTCAATATATAGAAGACCAACAATTCTTGATCAGTTTTTCTTTATTGGAAAATGGCGTTGTAAAGCATCAACAGCCAGTCGATAAATGAAAAATGGAACTCATCCTCCAAGGGATCTTCCTCGTCGGTATCGAGCTCCTCGATATAGTCGTATTCATCTTGAGTGTCCTCGTCAGTGACCAGCTCTTCCATAGAGAAGTATTCTTCGAGATCGTCATTGGTGGCGTTGTCCAAGTACTCATACACTTGAGCCAGCGTCATGGGACCCATAAGATTGCTCTCCTCCACAGGAACTATAAAACCGTTCTCCTCCATGAACGGCGGCACTAAATCGGCTTCCAACAGTTCAATGTTTGCCTCGGGAATCATTTTCTATATTTCTTTACTTCTGAATAATGGGAAAGTCCCTATAGTTGTGTCATTTATTTGGTCTTCTTTGTTTTCTACTTACTTTTTAAGTCGGATTTCTTTTTTTGTTTGAGTAAAAAATTTGTAGAAAGTTAACGAATTGCAGTGACTGGATTAAAGGAGAAAAATTCTAAACTTTGAGAATTCGTTAGAATGAAAAAGTCCAAGACCTACTTGGGGAGCGAAACTTTAAGAAAAGGTAACTGGGTTGGACAGTGTTATTATCCTTACTAAATGTTTAATTTACAAATTAATATTTAATAATACAAGTTTAAACTTTAAATTTTTTTATTATATATTTGAATAATATTATAAATATAATTGAAACCAAAGACAGAGTAAACAATATGTTGCCTGCTTTTGTGCTTCGTTTTGCAGCACTTGAAATAATAATAATTCTTAGCATACTCACGGGTAAAATATATTATAATATATATTTGGAACAAAAGTGGGAACAGATTTTTAAAACAAATCCATAAACTAGTTTTAAATTTACTTTTAAAAATATTTTTCTATTAAATTTGTCCAACACAGTTGCCTTTTTTGTTGGAAATCCCTCTCCCAAGTAGGCCTTAGTTTTTCCTTTCAAACAAAGTCTAGAATTTTTTCTCCTTTTGTCACTGCAATTTGTAATTGTGCCAAAGCAGGTTCTAATGAAAATTTTCTACTAAAACAAACTAAAATCAACTGAAAAAGTAAGTTAGTAAAACAAGTCCATTATAAAGGCCAAAAACTATAGGGACCTTTTCAGTTCTTTTCCATTATCATTAAAGTAAAATAAAAAAATGATTCTCGAGGAGGACATAGAAATGTTGATGCCTAATGTTGTGCCGTCGCCGCCTGTCTTGCAGGAAGCCAATGTTATGGATCCCATTGCAGAGGAAGAAGAACTCTACGAAGACGTTGAATATATCGATGACTATGATGATGAAGAAGGTCATGGTGAAGATGGTCATGATGAAGAAGGTCCCGATGAAGATGGTCATGATGAAGAAGGTCATGATGAAGATGAATTTTATTTAGAGGAGCTCGATAGCGATGAGGAATATGATTGTGATTATGTCTTTGTTTTCCATTCCACTTTCCAATAAAATGTTGGCAAGAACACCCCAACTGACCACAGTCTACCGGTGGTGTCATAAATGAAATGAAATTGTGAATGTTTTTATTCATTCTTTTTTTGGCAAAAATTTAACATTAAGAAATTAGAGAATGATTAGAGATGAGACTTGCAAAATTTCATATTTTACAGCCAATTCACATGTTGCAGATGTTGAATTTTGCCTTAAATTATATATTTCATTTTTGATTGCTCATAATCCCCCTGATTTTTTTGGGAGGGATTCGCTTGCCGCTCAAGTGGCCCATTGTCAGTGCCGCAGACCAGAAAGGCAAACCGTCTCGAGAGCAACTTAAAGCCGTAGAAACAACGCTGACAAAAGTACAGTCACCACCACCAACATACCGGATGGATGGCCGAGACAGCTGGCTCTGCTGCTGTCCAACCCCTGACCACCGGATGCTCAACCCCCTTGGTGCAGTTACAAAGGAGCTACCAAAGTGGAGCGTGCTCTGCCTGTGAAATTGCAAGCAGGAATAATACTTTCATCGATAATCACAACAAGGGTTAAATCGGTGGGTCAAGTGTTGCTGCAGCGCGTGTCAAACTCTTTGAAAGGTTAAAGGAAACATGTACATATGAATATATGTATGTATAAATATTTTTTTTTAATTTCAAATTGATAGAAATTGATTATAGAAGCTTTTCAATATTTATTTTGGTGTTTTATTGGAAAATGGCATGGTAAAGAAACAGTATCAAGTCGCCAAACGAATCCATTGGATCGTCTAGGGGATCCTCCTCATCGGTATCAAGTTCCTCGATATAGTAATAATCATCATTGTCATCATCCAAGTTCTCAAACACGCGAGCCTCCTCCATGGGACCCATAACATTGATCTCCTCCATGGCCTGAGGCACTGCATCGGCTTCCAACATTTCCATATCCTCCTCGGGAATCATTTTCTATTATACTTTACTTTTTGATAAAGGAGAAAAACTTAAAAAGGGACCTTTTTTTACTTACTTTCTTAATTGTATTTTTTTTTAATGAGTAGAAAATTAGTAAATATTTCCAAAAGAACCTGCTGTGGCACAATTACAAATTGCAGTGACTAAAGGAGGAAATTTTCTAGACTTTGAAAGAAAATTGCAAGGCCTACCTTGGGTAAGGGATTTCATAATTACTAAATGGAAATTATTAAATGTGTTTTTACTACTAAAAATGTACTATTAAATATACTACATACTAAGTAAAAATATATTAATACATATATATTTAAATTTACATTATTTATTAAACTCGAATATAATTGTTAACAAAGACAAAAAGTACAATTTTGTTGCCCTTGTGCCCCCCTTAAAATGTGAAATAAGTCCCCTGCTGACACCATTCACATGATGAATGACACCTGGGAATGACACAATTAGACAAAATAAAAAAAAAAACCCGCCTCCAATGAGGCTCGATTAAGAATGAGTGCTAATCGCATTGGGACAACAAGGCAGGCGATGATGCAATAACCGTGTAGCAAGTGCATTTCTCTGGAGCGGATTACAAGCTGGCAATCCACTTGGCACATGACGCCTCATCATTGTTCGTGCTTCCTCCCCTTTTTCTTCATTTTTTTTTTTTTTTTTTTTTGCCTGCCTCGGGAGTCCTTTGTCCTGGACACGTCTCTGGTGTAACCTAATCCGCTTAGCGCTGGCACCGAGGCCTAAGGGAGGTCTCACTGAGCACTCCTCGCCCGTAGCGATCTCCCGAAGAAAGCAATCAATGGGCAAGGGGGAAGTTTGTACAGTTTTCTATAGAGAACAATTTTATTGATGAGGGCGGCAAACTAAACAGGTTTCAGAGCCACAGTCCGACAGGATCAATGGATCGACTGAGTCTTCCGGATCCACAAAACCACGCGGCTGGACGTTGTCGTCATCGTTGTAATTGTAACTATCCTCCTGGGACATTTCCCCGATAGATTCTTCTTCGTTAAAGACAGCCTCTTGGTTGATGAACCAATCCTCTTCGTCCTCGAGAATTTCCTCAAGAATTTCCTCGTCAAACGTACCATCCTCGTCGAAATCATCTTCCTCGGGAATACCAATATTGGCCATATTAGCCTCAATGAGAAGGTCGTACTCTTCGGGTTTTGAATCGTTTGGCTTTTTCTGCATTTTGTTTTAGCTTCTTACAGAATTAAATTGCTGAAAATTTATCACAGATTCAAGGGCTTACACCCTGGGCATATGTTGTTTACTTACATATTTCGGGTTTTCGGTTAGTTTTTCCAATTTATTTTAACCAAAATTGCAGCAATTTAAGCTTTTTTACAAATATTAATTGCAGAGGCAAAAGTGGCTTGGTGGAGAAAATTTTCAAGAAGGACAATGCCAGCAATGTCAAAGCCTTTTGCGATTTATTTGCATTTATTATTTTCTCTCTTAGTATTAAAAGTATTAAAGCTACAAAGTTTAGTGTGACCAAATTTCGGGCGAAACCGGAAGAGGCCAGGCTCAAACAAAAGCCTAGCTTCGGTTCCGGTTTTGGTTCTGGTTTTCCTCAATTTCCGTTCTGGAAACGCAGCCTGTTTGGTGTAGGCAAATAGTACGATCCAATGGAACGGTGCAACTGCGTCTTACATAATCACACGGCGGTCGGGGCCTTTGTTTCGCCTTTGTTTGGTTTTATGGACACAAAGGAAAAGCCGACGAAGCCCACGAAATCTAAACCCCTGAAATCCCAAAAACCGATAACTGAAAACTGAAAGCCGAAAAATCAAAGAGAACCCATGAAACCCGTAGACAAAGCGTCGAAGAAATTCGCTAGAAAATGCCACGCGGTAATGACAAATATTGACATTTCCAGGGTTGTCGTTGTATTTTCTACACGGAGAAGTTAAAAGTAAAAAAAAAATAATAAATACCATAAATATTTAATAATAGTAATGAATTTTGGTAATTAAATCTTAAAATTTTTACCATAAAAACAAATTAAATATATAAATTTATAAATAAATATTATTAAAAATTAAAAATATAAATTTAAAAAAATATATAATTTTTATATTATTAAAAATTAAAAATATAAATTTAAAAAAATATATAATTTTTATATTATTAAAATATAAATAAAAAAAAATAAATAAATTTAATAAAAATATATTTTCAATTATTTTTTTAACAAAAAAAAATTATAGTTCAAACATATTTCTTATATATTATAACATTTAGTTCATAATTTAATTAAATATTTTAGGAAAATTATTTGCAACTAAATTTAATTATCAAGAGAAAATATATAAATTATAAATTATTATAAATTATAATTTATTTACATAATATTTGATAAAAATAGATTTTTTATTTTATTAATTTTATTTCATTATTTATTATTTAATTTGTATTACTTTATTCTAAACACATTTCATTCATTTACCAACAAAAACCAATTTAAGACAAATAGCCTGATATTTTTTCTCTGTGCACCCGGATCTATTAAGATTGCTAGGTAATCCAAAACCCAGCCGGAATAATGCCACGCTCTCGCGTCGATAAATAGTGTGCCGCGAGTGTAGATTAGCGACGGGGGAGTGGGGTCTCTCACATCCAGTTCGGGGGAGTTACTACCCAGGGGCAGGTTCCTCTAAAGCTGAAAAAACTATCGGATTACCTTCTCACGGTTCTGCTTTCCGAGCTCTAATTTCGTATCTTGAATTTTCTCAATTTCCCAATTCCCAAATTTCCAATTTCCCCTGGTCAAACTGGTCAGATAGATAAAACCACTAACAATATGCTGGTACTTTTCAAATAAAACCCCAGCAATTAGTGTTTATCTAATCAAAACGATTTAATTTATTAGGAAATTAAATTGTTATTAAGAAATTACACAGAGAGAGAGAGGGTGCTCCATGGTTTATTTAATATTTCTGGGAATTTTGTAAAATAAAATAAAATTCGTTAAAAATAAAGCTATAAATTGTGATGGAATAAATTCCTCACTTCTACTTCTTTTTCGCTTGTCCTGCAAAGATGTTGTGCCATTGTCCTGCCACTCAAGTGGCCAAGTAGCTGGGTGAATAGCGGTAGGATGGTGACCACAACAAAGCATCCTTTCGAGGCAGCCAGACGACCAGGCGACGCCTTATCTAACCCAAAAGCTAATAATTATGGTTTACAAAAAGGAAGAAAAAATGCCAAGCCGCAGACTCTTGTTTTTATACCCTACAGGTAGGGTATATGTAGAAATGCAGATAATTCTAATTTTAATTATTAATTAATTAATTAATTAATATAATTTAATGTAATTAAATTTAATTTAAATTAATTTATTATTAGTAATTATAATTGTTTTTAATATATTTATTTTTTAAATATTTAAATAATTCTTAATTAATTATTTCAATCTTTATTTATTATTTAATTAATTATATTTCCTTAAATATTACTTTGATTTTGCTGTTTCTTTTATTTTTAATATAAAATATATAGGTGTTAAATATTTTAAAAATATTAAAAAAAATTCTTAATTATTTATTCCTAATTCTCAATTTTTATTCTATTAAATATTACTTTGATTTAGCTGTTTCATATATTTTAAAAATAAAAATGGTTATATATAATTGTTAAATATTTTTTAAACTATTTTAATAATTCTTAAATAATTATATTTTGAATTTCTTAATTTTGATATGCCTTAGAAAGCCTTTCACAAAAATATAAATTAACTAAAGACCTAATTCCAACTTCAAAGGGTATCCTATTGTCCATGCTGGTCCAGTGATTGGCCTTTAAATTTTTCCTGCCGCCTTGCAGGACTCACAGGATCCGCACAGGACGCCCAGTAATGCGTTAAATGGCAACGCATTATCCACACATTCCTTTCGGTAGGCACGGGTGCGAAGCCCTAAATTTGCACAGCTCTAGGATATGGGAAATATTTTGTAACAATTTTTTTTTTTTCCGTCCTGGTGTCTATATATAGGCTTATATAGTATATCTGTATATATATGTAGCTTCAAAGTAACATTGTTGGACCGCACCACATGCAGACATACTTTGTGTTTGACCACATGGCATAATGAGTGCTGCCTGGGCAAAGGACAAAGGAGCCCAAGGACTCCTCGGTCGCACCACACTCAGGTGAGTCCTGGTGTGCGTGTGCGTATGTGTGTGTGTGCTCGCCAGCAGGATGTCTGTGGTCAGACAGCAGGCAGCGATTGCCTTTCCAAATTTCGCTTGAGTAGGTGTAAAATTCGAATGTTATTCAGGACAGAACAAGGACTCTTTCCACCCACAATACTGAAAGAAATAATTGTGCAATTGGGAATTGAGCCAGAGCTGAGATAATTGTATGGTATATCCCTTTTTTTTTTAATGATTGATAGCTCTCAATTGGCTTCTTTGAATTTTAAAATATCCTTTTTTTTTGGCTTTTTAATCTTTACAACTCGAAAATAATATAAAAGATATGTGAGAGAGTTTCTAATAAGTGAAATAAAAAGGAAAAAGGATTTGTAGAGTTGAAATTTTATTATAAAAAATATTTATAGGTTTTAAAAATATTTTCTCTGGTAACTAAAATATTTTTTCCCAAAGAAAAATATTCCAAATAATTTTGTAAAAATATTTATTTATAAAAATATATTTTTAAATATATATTTAAAAAAAAAAAACCCCTATTAGTTACAACCTAAACCTAGTGGGTTTCTGTAAAGAGAAACCTATATTTAATTTTTTTTTGTTCATGGCCGCACGCGACATGGCAACGAATTTGAGCCTGGTCATCCTGGTCTTTGTCATGTTTTGTTTGGTCCTTTTTGCCTGGCGTCTCGGATATCCTGCTCCGATTGCAACAAACATTTTGCAACAAAACAAAACCAAACCAAACATGTTTTGTTATATTTGGTTTGGAAAAAAGAAAACAAAAGCCAGGGGCCCTTGACAATGCCATATTATTTTGGCCACCAAAGTTAATTAAGGGTTTTGCGACGGCAAAAGTGAAATATACAGTTGATGCCATTGAGCCGCAAATGTGCCGAGCCGATGTCCTGCCAGCCTCCACAGTCCTGGACACATACTACCCGCGGCGACGGGATCATAATTAGCAGCGACTGTCGCTAATTGTCCTTTTGCCACCCCTAATCCTTGCTCAACTCCGGGCGACTCTCTGAAATGGTCCAAATTTCGAGGGCGTCACTTTGGTCTCAGATTGACTGACACTTCTGTCGTTGCCAGGTGATTAACAGAAGCCAGTTGTGCATTTTCCACACGAATGCATAAAGAGAGTGTGATTTTGTAGGAAAAATAATTTTTTGAAATATTTCTCTTTCAATTAAGAAAAAGAATTTGAAGTTAAAAATATTTTAAAAAATTGTATAACGATTAGGAAGGAAAATTAAACTATAGATTTATATTGCAAAAGACACTTATTCAAGTTTTTAAATCACAATTAAAATCTAATTCAATTTAATTTGAGTGAATTAATGTTTAGTAGCCATTCCTATGTGTTATTTATTTTATATTTTATATATTTATTTTATATTTTATTTACTTATTAAAGAAAAAATAAGATGAAAATATGATCTGATTTTCATTTCTTTTATTATTCTTATTTTTTATTTTATTCTTATTTATTTATTTTTATTTGTTTAAATTCTTTTTATTTTTATTTTTAATAAATTAATTTATTTACCTTTAAATTCACTCGGCAAATAAATTTATTAATGTCAAAAAACCTATTAAAGTACAGTACTCTATTGTTATTGAATTCTTCAATTGTCTGCTTTTATTGACAATTTTGTTTAGACTTTTAGACACTGCCACACCCCCTTTTAAACACCAAATGTCAAAGCATTTACTATTTTGGAACCAAAACCAGGAAACATTAAACACGCAAGCCAGGATTCGTTCAATTAAATCAAATTGTTAAGGACGCAACAGGAAATGAAACTGGTTGGTACATTTGCCGTTACCTAATAGTGATGACCCCCCCGGTCCTGTGCAATTTTATTATTGCCCAACACCCCTTAAAATCATGCTGACAACAACAGTGTTAACTAGTTAAAGTGAACCAAGAATAAAATAAAATGTAGCTACTTAAAATTGAAAAAAAAAAGAAATTGACACAATTACATCCTATAGTAAGTTTGAAAGTTATTAAATTAAATTAAATATTTAAATAATATTTTCAACATTTTAGCCAAGATATGAAATGTATTTTAACAATTATTTAAGGAATTATAATCTTAAATTTAGATTAATTTTCAGCAAAGCTTAAAATATTTATTAATAATTTTTTTTTCAACCAAAATTGTTTAATACTTGTAGGTCTCACTGTACTTAAACAGACACTAACACACCCACCAGGCAATAATTTTTCGCAATTTAATTGAAAACCGAAAATGTCAAAGTTACCCCGGGGTTTTTAAAACAAAAAGGTTCCCAGTTAGGGGATTGGCGTTAAAATCTAGGCACGCGTGCGCAACAAAAGCGGACAAATGGTCACAGTCACGCGCCACAAGAGCTAAAAGGTCAACAAACAAATAATAAACAATCCATAGTCCGAGCTAAATATATAAATGAAACGGGGACAAGGGACAACGACATATAAGGGTCGTCCAAATGAATCCGAATGCGAATTTTGTGGTTCCCAGAGCGGAAGTAGAAAATAGTGGGTGGTTTTGAGCTCATTTAAGGGTCAAACTATGAAAATAATACAAGTCCTGATAGTTGAAAATGGTATCATTTTCCGAAAAGAAGAAAAGAAAGGCTCATCAACTTGTTTTTCTTGTCTGGTTAGCACTGGGGTCAAGGGTTACAAAGGGGGGAAACTAATGGACAATGGAACCTTTTAGTGGCATTACAATAACAACAGAGGGGTTCCTAAGGAAGAAGGGGTTTCCATGGGTGTCATTAGCTTAGTTACAGGGAAACTCCTAAATGAATCTTGAAGAATCTAAATGAAAATAATTATAAATATACAAGATCTCTTATAGATATCTGAGATATGGATATTAAAGATACTTATTTATTTGTAAATAAATTTTAAGGCAATTAAAAATATTATTAAAATAGTGTTAAACCAAGACTTCAATGATTTCAACCTTTAAATGAATTAATGTTCAATGGAAACTGAACAATAAACCAAAAGGAAGTGCCTACAACCAGGCCCTTTTCAACATTTCCTTTCATTTTAGCCGTCATTGTCCTGGACTCTCGTAAATCGTAACTCGTAAGGTGGAATGCTTAAATATCAATTAATTATTGGTGCATCCGACGTTGGCACCTACGGCTTTTGTGTGCTCATAAGCGCAATATAGTATCTGGCACTGCATCAGTATCTTTATCTGTATCTGTATCTGTATCTGTTTGTGTTGGTTTGCCTCGATTTGAAAACAATAATTCATCATCTTGCCCGTCCGTGGAAGCATCATTAGTCTCAGTTCAAAGTCCACAGAATTGTGATTGAGTTTTGGGCTGAGAAGATGCAGGGAAAACCCACTATGCTCTGGCTCTAATTGCTTATACATATATATCTGTATATAGTTATTAAGCATTTCTCTAATGATTCCAGCAACTGCGGGAATGCTGCGGTTACCGTCATTTGAGAACATCTTCTTTTTCAACTTGATGCAGGTGTTCGTTCCTTAAACTCCCTCCTTCAATTTTGGAACTCGATCTGGGCTACAAATTTGGTACAAAATTGCCCGAGATCGCTAGAGAGAGATTGATTCGATTCGAAGACCACCCATTTGAGTTCTGAATAGATGTCTTCATTTGTCTGACTAACCATGGAATCAGGTAGCAGTTTGGATAGGGATCGAAATCGTGGTTAAAAGGTCAGGTTAAACCACTGGATTCACTCAAGTTTAATACCCATTGTTCGTTTATACTCGTAATTGTTAAATAATTGTCTTTGGCCTGAAAGGAAGTCGTCGCTTCAAATTGCATTTCTACTTCATGTTTTTAAGTTGATATATAAAAGTTAATTAACTTTAAGAGTTCTTAAAAAGATTAGAATTTGTGAACTTTTTTAAATTATTTTTGAAAGGTCAAACAGCTTCTACACATCTTTATTTATATTTAAAAATAAATAATAAATAAGTTCGTATATCAAGTTTCCTTTGTTTAATATTATTTTCACACGCATGTTTTAGTGGGTTCAAAGTTCAAATGCATTAGGGAAATTAGGCATGAGGAACGATTGTGGGATAAACAAGGACATTTCCCACAGCATCCCGATCAATTCAATATCCATCTGTGGAAAATTCGGGAAATAAAATTAACACACTTGAAGCCAGGCGTTGGTGCAATAAATAAAGCGCAGCGAAAGTGCGACATCAACGACAAAATAACAATCCCATAAATCACTTATCGTCGCCAGAGGGTGGGATATTTATATATATACGTACATATATCTATATATCTCCTGTATAGGGTGATAAATTGCTCCGTCACACAGGCAGCAGCGGCGAGACAAAACAACAATGATATCTGCAGATACATTGCCATCGGCATCTATGCATCTGTCAGATACGCAATTTCATTTACTAAATTGCACGGAACGCATTCAAACGTAACTGCGATTTTTTCGCTGTTGTTTGAGGGGTGGGGGAGTGACTTTGGTGGAAAAGTGGGCGGTGGTGGGTTAATTGACAGCGGCAATTAAACGTGAAAAACCCAAGGAAAACGAAGCTGCAATCCGAACGAGGTCGAGAATGTTGCACGGGCAACAAGTGGCAGTTGCTTTTCCGAAATGTTGCCAGCAGGGTGAAAACTCGAAATGTTTTTCCCCCCGCCCATCCCAACTAGCCTCGGATTCTGATCGTAAAATCACGAATTCCGAAAAAAAAGAAGACATAAAAATTACTGCCGAGACAGCAGGGGAAAGAGATGTTGCAGGACGACCAGGCCACATGTTGCCGAGTTAGAAGGATTTGTAAGTCATGTTCCAATTGCGTAATCTATGAAGAACTTTTTAAAAACCATAATCTGGAGTGTAGTTACCTTTTTTTAATGAGTCGTTCTAAAAGTCTGTTGACAAACGGAAAATATTGGGCAATGAGGAAAAAAAAACGTGTCAAAAACTCGACACCAATGAAAAAACCCCATAAAAAGTGACGAAATGCGGCTTAAGTGCCGCCGGTCGCCCAGTTTCTCCGCCCATCGTCAGTTGACCTTGCTGACATCCCAAAAAAAAAAAACCTTAAAAAATACGATATGAAAAACAAGAAAATTGAGTTGAGTTGTCGGCCGTCGCCTAACGGTTAACTAGCATTTTGATGTGACCAAAAAAGCAAACAAATTGCGTAAAAATTAACAAGTACATTTTTTAAATCTCCTAATATTAATTATTTCAAATTGAAACTCAAACTTATTTAATTCTTAATTTAATAATTATATATTTATTTAAAATTCAAACATTTAATTTAAACAATTTCCAAGAAATTATTACTTTAACGTTGGTTAATTCAAATATAATAATTTAAATAAAATAATTTTCCAACACTCTGAACATTCTGAGCTCTGCAACATTCTCAGCAACACTCGTTCTGCCAGCAACATTATTCGAACACGCTCCTCGCCATATGAATAGGACACACAGCTGTCCATTGTTCATACAGACCAAATCGAGTGAGACAGAGACGCAAGAGCTATAAACGTGGCGGTGAGTGTGGCAACAGCAACGGCAACGGCGGCGGCGCCTGCGTCGACGCTAGCAACACCAACACAGGCCGGCCAGCGCCGGCGTCGGCGTCGACGTTGACGTCGGTGGCGGCATTTCGGTTTGCGAACGCCTCGCCGCCATCGTATCTTTCAGTTGCGTTCCAACGGTTAAACTGGCGCGTTGCTCTCTCAGCAAGCAAGAAAATAACTAAACTAAACAAGAGACAAGGCAACGGCTCACCTACACGCTCTCTTCTTCTGTGTTAACGGTCGTAACGTGAGTGTGCGTCCGTGCGTTCGCGTGTGTTTGTGTGCCAGTTAAACAATGAGAAATTGGTAATAATAATAATAATAATAATCATATTCTTTACTTAACACCAAAACCCGGAGACAACTGAACAAGTTCCCTAAAAAACACCAAAAAACCAAAAATAAACTGGCGGCATTCTTGCTTTTTTTTTAGCGTGTGACAAAAAAACTATGAAGAAAAACAACAAAACGAATATGAAATATTGTGTGTGCCTCGCTATCTGTCGCTCCCTCTCGCTAATTTTTGTTAATGTGTTCTTGTTGTTGTTGGCCCTTTCCATTCCGATATGAATGAGTCACGTGCAGCAAAAGTTAAACAATTTTTTGGCCGCTAAAAAACTTGAGGGAAAACTCCCAGAAAAAAAAACTCCAAGGAAACTCGGAGAAAAACTCCCAGTCAGCCGCCAAGTGCATACGTATAAAAATAATAATAGAAAAACTACAAAAAGCGTTAACAGAGAGCAAGAAAAATAAAAATGGAAACAGGTTTCTGGGCCCGCTCCGCTCGTTGATATTATTGCTGTTGTTGTTGTTGTTGTTGCTGCTGCTGCTTTTGGCCACAGTGAGCGCTGGAAATTGACTCACGGCTGCAGCTGCACAACAAACACAAAAAAGCTGAGAAAAAAAAGAGAACAACTCAGATATAAACATAAATATAAACAAAAGCTTGGCTGGGCATGCGGAAAAGTTGCACCGCAAACTAATCCAAAATGTTAACAGAAAAAAAGGCCAAGTATAAATACAGAAAAATGACAGGCAAAAATATCAGGAGACCTCGGGAAATCCGGAACTCCCTGGGATCCTCAAATTTCACCGACGACGGGCTTTTTAAATTCCATTTTGTAATTATTACTTCACTCAACTGGCGACTTTGTGTCTCCCCAAACAAAAGTTATTTTCATTTGCTGTGGCTTTGGCCCACAAAAAACTTTATTTTTAATATCATCAAAGGCCCCGGCTCAAACTGTTGGCATAAAGTCAACTTTTGCAAATGCAAAATTTATATTTCTAGAGAATATTTGCAGGCTTTAAAATTTGTTGTTTTATGTAACAATTTACTGAGTTAAGTAATTAATTGTTTTATTAAATGAATGGTTTCGAAAAAATTTATTTCTCACGTTAATTGATTCAGAAATGCAATTATGGTTTTTTTCCGATGAATAAATTGAGAAATTTAATTAAATAAATATATTTAATGGTTTAAATATTTTTAATTCGTATTTAAATTTAAAATATATTAAAAGGCATTGAAATCTTCCTTTATTTCCTAAAGTTTTTTAAGGATTTAATTTATTAAAAGTGAATTTTAAATATTTGTTTTAGTGGTAAATGTTACCATTTTCAGACTCATTAAACAGTTGGAAAAGTTTTGTAAAGTACTTAAAAATTCCCAGTTAATGCCTCATATTTAAGCTTATTAACCAATCAAACGAAAAACGGGAAAGCCCCCGCGAGAAAATGTAATTAAAATTTGTTCGAGCGTCCGTCCAAGTCCCGGAAGTCAAGTCAAAATCAAATCATTTGACATCAGCATTAATAATTCAGTGAATATCAAGTGGAAAACTTCTAAACTTTTATGCAACTTGAACAGATTTCCAAATTTCCTGCGCCGCCGCTACCGTTGCTCCCCTCTAGGCCTTGTTTGAAAGTTTGCCATTATAATTAGCGTTTTTGAAACTTTATGAATATTTTGGGACTTCTTGGTCTTTCGTCTCGCTTGCAAAGTATTTTGTCTTGAGCAAAATAGTGGCCAACACATGCTTGTGCTAAAACAAGTTCCCACACACTTACGGCGGCACATTGGGTTCTAGGAAAAGTCAAGGCCTGCCCCAAATATCGATTATACGGTAAACGTAACTGTAATAGCCGTAAGCCAAGGGAAATCCCGCTAAGGGGGCCCGGGATTAGCGGCAAAAGACAGGCTCGAGAGGTGGCCCCCAAGGCAGGCGTCTACAAAAGTACAGTGGGGCTACTTGATGTGGTTTTTATTTATTCGTTTTAAATATAAAATTAAGGTAACTAATAGGGCTTCTTGCTTGATTTGATTTTAGAAATTAAATTAAAATTATATACAGTTTTTTCTGAGTCATTCTAATTGGCTTTGTTTTTTTCTGAAAGGCACGTTTTGTAGGTGATTAATAGGAACTTCAAAAAGGCAAGGGACACTCTTACGTATACGTTATTTTTAAATTACAAAATAGTTTCATCGGAATATATTTTTTATTTTGAAAATATTTTTAAAATTTTTTATGGAAATTCTTGGGATCCTCCTTTTATTAATAGCCTTTTTCTTTGGAGTCTTCTCATTTGACGAGTGAACACTGTACCGCGCTTCAGCTTGCTGCATTCCAAGGACATTCGTTCTAAGTGCAACTCCCGTGTGTGAAAGAGATACAAGATAGGAGGGGGTCTTGAGTCACGACTTATCGCTGGAATGACTAAAACAAATCGCTAATCCAAGGTGTCTCTCTCTCTCTCTCTATGCTAGATGTGTAAGATATTGGGCCCTCTCTCTCTCTCTCTCTCTTTCGGCCAAGATAACGATCGTCGAGAGAGAGAGAGTGAGCACATGTATTGGAAATATTAATAAGTATGCAGGTCCTTCTCTCCCACCCCTCTTTTTACCTTATTGCACCCTTCTTGCCCACTGCTACGTGCTTCGTTTGTGCGAGAGAGCGCGCCGCAATTTCCGTTACAAAACTGGCCGCCTCTGCCGACACATGTGCGCCACGCTGGCAGCGCAGTCAGCTGAAGCAGCGCAGCGGCAGAATTAGCAGGTTATCTTTTTCTTTTGGCCGCCGCCAACTTTAGAATGCAACCCTTCAGTTCCATTCGTCAACGATTCCCCTACGATTCGCCATGGAACCGAAATAATTCCATGAGGATTCGCCATGGAACGTTCATACAACTCGGCTAGGAATTTCCATACAACGAGTGCTCCCAGCCTGTAATTCGAAATCGCCCAAGAATCCATCACGAATCGCACGGGAAGGTCCACGGGAATTTCGAAAGATAATCTTGCACGAATCGTCAAGGAATCGCTGGGGCGAATCGTCGACGAATCGCGCGTGAATCACTGGGGGAATCGTGGACGAATCTTGCGGGAATCGCTGGCGGCAATCGTCGAGGAATCCCGAGAAAATCATTGCGGAATCCCGCGGGATTCGCTAGCGGAATCCGCCAGGAATCCCAGATGAAAATCTATAGAAAATTCCTGAAAAATTCCCCCCCCCCCCACCCTTCCTAGTAAAAATCCGATGTAATATATTCCTTATTTGTTTATGGATTGCATTTTTTTATTTATCTTCACTTGTTTGGTAGCATTACATTTTTCTGCAAAATTAAACATGTATATGTATGTACATATGTATGTACATAAGTGCGTGTCACGAGTCTCCTTTGCCGGCTGCTGGGTCCTTTAAGAAACTTGTTTTATCTGTAAATTAAATACATAAGTACATACATATTTTTTAATCAAATTGTAAATTGCAGTACATACCAACTTAAACTGGATAAAAAAACGTTGTAAATCCGTACTGAATCCCATTCACACCGTCTAGGTTGAAGTCGCATCCATTTTAATCGTCAATTCTGCAATTAAAATTAATAATTGAATGCAAATAAGTTCCACTTACCTTATAATATTTCATTTTTACGCAACTATACGCAAAACACATCTGAATGCAACAGCAGTCAACTCAAAATGCAAAGAGAATTAGAAGACAAAACCGAAGACCGAAAATTCTCGCGCGTGTCAGGGTATAGCCGACAAGGCAATGCCTTGCAATTAGATTCACAAAGGGCCAATAATCAAACATGAACATTTCGGCCATGTCTAAAGCACAATTTCTTACGTGCTTGTATCCCACACGATTTTATACGTAAAAATTAATTAAATATAATCTTAAATATTTTTATATAACTCTACTTATTTTAAAAAGGTCATTCTCACGTCGGTGCAATACTCTTTGTTTTTGACACCAATTTTCTTTCCTCCCTTCCTTCCATCTCCATCTCTCTCTAATTTACGAATTCTCGCGACCGCTACTCCGAACGTAGATCGAAAACAATAACAAATATGAAGAACGAACTTCGTGAAGCCCTCGGCAGTAGCCGAGCGTAGGTAGAATTTGTTTCGGCTATTTTGTTTCGAACTTCGCTGAACCAGGCCCATGTAATTTGTTTTTGTTTTTCGAACATGCCGCGAGGAATCGGACGGGCCAGGAATTCTGGAACTGCAGGGAAGCTACAAAACGCACACATTTACATTTAGCACTCTGTTTGCCATCTCCATCTTCTCCCTGCCGCCAAAATTGTTCGTGTGTGACGACTTGTGCTTCTTACTCACTCTCTTGCTACGCGTTTGCTCCTGCTTCTTGCTAATAAATGCCAACATTTGCCATTTGATTCGGCGGAAAATGTTAAAGTTATGAGAAATAATCAAAATATCAAATGCAGATGAACTTCCGGTGAACTCAGTAAGATCTCAAAGAAAAATAACATAAAAAAGAGCCTAAAAGTAATGAGATTCTCCTTAAAATTTCATTCTATTCAAAGAAATATTACCAAAACATACAAAACTTACTATTAATACCAAAACTAATTCAATATTCCTTAATTTCTTGATCTTTTGCAGATTCTCACTAAGATTTTAAGAACAGCAACTAAGGAGGAAGTCACCAAAAACAACTCCAATTTTTTCAAACATTTTTTTCGAGTGCAAACGTAAACAAACCAAAGAAGTTTAATAAAAAAAACACAAAAGACAAAATAGCTAAAAAAGTAACACAAAGGAAAGCGATAAAAAACGAAATGGGAGAACTGCGAAAATCGGTGCTGCCGCAGCAGCATCTCGTTCTGGCGCTTCTGATCTGCTGCAGTTCATTAATAGGTGAGTAATAAATATACATATAAAAAACATTGTATTTTAGGCCCTTTTATAATTAGAAATATAGAAATAGGAGCCGGTCACATGACAGGCACAAATGGGGCGGCAAATTGAAAACGAAAGAGTGATAATAAGAAGTTGAAAAAAGCTTTATTAATATGTTAAAAAAATATATAATATATTTAGCTTTATAAGAAATAAAGATTACGTTAGGAACAGCTCAAGATTTCAGTACAAAAATAATAAAAAAAAAATATTAAAAAAAAATTAAAAAAAAGAAAACATAATTTAAATATAATAATTATACGACCCAGTAAAATTATTCATAAATTTTAAGTATACCAATATACTAAAGACTGTTTTATATCCTCCTCAGCCCTTTGACATATAAACTAGGTTATCTAAATCACACCTCTGTAGGCCTAGATTTTCCTAATTTCAAAGAAATTCTTGCTACATCCACTTATTTTTATTGTTCCTACTTAGGAATAGCTCTGAAAATTGACAAATCATTAGCTAATACCCCCATATAGCATTGTAACTAAAGATAATTAAGCAAGCCCATTCTTATGGCTGCTATTAGCACCTTAACTAAGGCTAAAAAAATTCCGCTTATCAGTCTCGACATCTTCCTTCTGGAGAAATCTACGAGATCTACCTGAGCACTTGGTAGTACTTACCTGATTTCGACCCTGAATCGCTAAGCAAATAGAGAAAGAAAAACAGAACAGAAAAAAATTATCAACATCCCGACGAGTGGAAAACTAAAATAATCATGTTCCTTATCGCAATTACCCAAAATTCTAGACTCAATATTTGCCTTACCTCATAACGCAGTCTATATACGAGGTGGTATCCGAATCGTTGCTGGGCAAATATCGTAAATTTGTTGTGTGAACATGACATTGAGAGAGTCTGGAGAATTAAATACACCAAATACAGATTTTTTTTGTTTTTGCCTGACCCAAGAGACCGGCACCTGACTTTGGGACCGTAAAAATTAAGCAAACAACAAAAATATTACGCAAAGCGATACGGTTGCCAGGAGAAGGTTCTATATGGGTTTTAACATCTAGGCATTATCAGGCTAAATAATTTTAAATTAAAAAAAAACTACTTTGGTTGAGGAATTTTAACCCTAAGAAAATGGAATTCTAATTCGTTAAAATTTCCCAAAAAATATATATAAAATTATCTTTTAGCAGCATCTTCTTGGTAGGTTCTTTAAAGATATAATCAGCTCATTAAGACCTTATAAGAAACCGCCAACATGCAAATAAAGTAGAAAGACAAAAAGGTTGGCAAAAAACATATAGAAACCGATTACTTGATGGCTAAATAATAGGCCGACAAATTATTAAAACAGAAACCTAGCGGTGCCAAAGCACTAAAATTAGTTTATAGACGAAAAGCCAAACCGGATTTGAATCAAAGAGACAAGAGATATATCGACATCTTTCATATTTCAAGCGATTTTATGGCGTAGCAAACTTCTCGGAAGAACTGTACTCGTAAAGTCGAGAAAAAGGGAGAAGAGATGCTGGAGAAGAAGACAACTCTCGTCTGACTTCCCAGCAATTACTGCATCCGGTTTGGACCACAAAAGCTGGAGGCCTTTAAAAAACGTTCTAATACAGCACAAAGTCAAATTTAATTAACGCTCAAAAAACCCCCTCTATGTGTTTCTACTTCTTTCAATTTCCCAGAGAAGACATTTACGAGGGAAATAAAAATTGGTAAAGTCACTGCAGGAGCTGAGTCATCCTCTGAGATGATCGCTCTTAAGATGCTTACAGAAAATCTGAAAATTCTTTGGGAAAACTACAGGTTTCTGTGTGTGTGTGTGTGTGTGTGTGTGTAGAAAGTGAAGAAGCACTCAGGTGTCTAGCTTTTGTGGTGGTCAGTTGTTGCTCTAATTTTTTGTTGTGTAGTAAACTTAAAAGTTTTGTTGCCGCCTTTTTGTTCACTCTAAACGGGAGCCCCGTGTTCCATATTCTTGTGAGAAACAGCACTAAAGAAAAGCTGGTAGAGAAAAGGGTGTTGTTGTTGTTGCTGGTGGTGGACAGTCCTAATTAGCTAAGTCCGAAACTGGCTTAATTGGGTGCCGCTTTCACTCTTGGCCATCATCGTGCCTGGGAAAAACTGTCAGTTACGACAGTTAGTCATACCATTAATGGACGAGATGAAGGGGGGCCCCCGCGAGATGAATGAAAGCAAAGTCCAAGGAAGCTAGAAGCAGGGAAATTTCAGCACAATCTTGAGAGGTTTTCTTCTTATTATATATATTTTTTTAGTTTATTTTTTTGTGGTCCAGCACTTGAGCGCTTTTCAGCGAGAGAGATGGTAACAAAATAGGCAAAGTTGCAACAGGATTTTATTGCAGAATTTATTACTACCTTATTTAAAGCGAAAGAACATGAGTGTGTCCGTACTTGGCGGTAACAAGTCCGTGCTCTTAGCTTTCAAGTTTAACCTGCTTAAAAATCTAAGAGAACAAGCTACTCATACGCCTTTGGTATGTCAAAATACAAGATTTTTTATTAGCGAGATTATAAAAATTACAGTCATCAGATGGATTTTTAACAAGTGATGAAATAAATACAAGAAATTTTAAATGTTTGGATATTAAGATACAAGTTTTCAACTGTTCATTTACTGCCTTAACGCAGTATGGCTGGGAAGCTGGAGTTTATAACCCAGGCCGGACGACGGCCAAGTCTCAGGCCCATGAACTCAAATTCTTCCACGACTCCCCGCGGCCGAGGACATTCTCAGAATACTCCTCTGACTCATACATATCTTCTTGACTTCTCTCCGATGGAGGGGTACGAACATCAGGTTGCTGTTGCTGCCGCCGCTCAAGTTGTTGCCTGAATGGGACAGCTTATGGTCAAGCGGGCAGCTCTCTGGAGTTCCTCTTTTCTTTTCTTTATTTTCTTGTCTTTTGTGCCACTTGACAACACAAAGGCGTGGCAAGAGGGGGGAGGTGTGCAGGAATCGGGGCAGGAAAAAGGAAATTCCAATTATGTTGCAAAGAGTAGAGGTCTGGCCGTGCGTAGAAAAGAATTGTTGCCGCTGCCGCTGTTGCTGCTACTGCCGTTCTGCTATCCATCTCTCACTCTCCCTTAATGCGCGATTTTCCCTTGTTTTTAATTTTAATCCGGTCCCCGTATTGCTGCCCCCCGTCCCGCCCAAAGGCCCCCGCGCATTTCGCTTTAATTAATAAAACAAAACATTTTCGGATGGGACAGCAAAACAAAAGGCGGATTCAAGTGGATTGCAGAAATGATAATGAGCCGTGTCGGTAGATAGGAGATACTGTTGTCCACTATATATAGTATATATACAATCTATATATAGGCGCCCATCTTTAATCCCATCTTTTTGTTTTGTATGCTGCTTCAATTTTCGATGCCGAAAAACTTCTGCATAATTAGCGAACATTGTAGCGAGCTGCAACAATTTAAATTAACTGCAAGTGAGGCAGAAAAAAATTCTGATTAAATTAAGGGAACGGAAAAATTTTACTTAAATAATATCTCTCTTTCATTTATTTGCTTTGCATTGAAGGTTATCGATTTTATTTTGATATGCTATCGATATAAACTTCATAAATCGCATAGGAAATATTTTTATATATATATATAATTTATTTGCTTTACATCGAAAGATATCGATTTTATTTCGATAAGTAATCGATAATATATTTTTATAATTATTTTTTTTTAAATTGCGAAAATAAAATAACATTTTTGCATAGTACCAAAAATGATCGATTTTATTTCAATATTCTATCGATAATTTTATAATAAATCCCATTACCAAGGTTTCTTTTATAATTTAAATTTCTTCAGGCAAGTGAAAATGCGACCAAAGAAAGCGTTAATTTTATTACCCCCAATCTAGCTTATAAATACACAAAAATAGTTGTTATTACAAACCTAATTATCAAGTAAAAATGCTGGGAAAAAATTCAAAAATAAAAATGAAAGAGTTGGTAAAAGAAAAGAAGAAGAAAGATTTGAATTGAATTAGTGTGAAAGATATGGCAAGACCTCAAGTTGCTTTCTGTTTATTTTGCTGTATTTTTTCCATGTCGAGGAATGCAGCGAGAGCCGCAGAAGAGGGGTTAAGCCCGCATAATCCCAATGAAGCTTAAACAATGAGTCGCGGAGCAAGACAAGATACACATAAATGAAACAAAACAAAACACAAAACAAAAAAAAAACCTAAGGAATGCACAGAAAATACAAATGAAGGATTGTTAAGCCCAGCGACGACCCTCGCTTTTCCCGCTTGGGTTTTTCGTTTTCCTTCCTTCAAGTATGATGAATGAATTTTAAATTAAAATTCAGACGAAATTCAGGCACAAAAAATACTGATTAAGCCCAGGCAGACCCAAGACACTCCACACACACACACATGTGTCCCAAAACGATGCCCAGGTCCGACAGCCCGCATTTGGGCCCAATTTGGAAGCTGAACTAAGATAGTTTTCAAGCAATATATTACTGACTACTTTAGTCTTGAAAGTAAAATTAATAAATAAATAAAATAATACTGCAAGAAAATTCTTAAATTTAAAAAAGAACCCTCCAAATATTAATATGTTCTTAGGGCAATTGGCAAAAACGCCCCTGTAGTTCTTATATAGGATCTCCTAAGATCTCGAGACACACAGGAAACTCCCCACCTGTGGCCCGTGAACGTGCCGGGCCTAACAACCAGCCGAAATTGAGTTATAACCAATTGGTAGGCATTCGATTTGGGACTCATTCCCGGCACATACTACACCTCAGCCTACCTGCCAGCCAGCCAGCCTCTGATACCATCTGTGAAGTTGGGCTATACCACGGCTATAAAGGGCTAGAGATGGCCGGCCCAGGTAACCCGATGACGCCCCGGCATATACACACAACTAATTGCTAATTGGATTATGTCTTGGTCGAGTGGGAGATGGACAAGGATGGACTGAATGGCTGAATGGCTGAATGGAGAGTAGG